CTGGCTCTGTGGATGAGGGGAAAGCAGTGGATGTGTTATTCCTTGACTTTAGCAAAGCTTTTGATACCGTCTCCCACAGTATTCTTGCCGCTAAGTTAAAGAAGTATGGGCTGGATGAATGGACTGTAAGGTGGATAGAAAGCTGGCTAGATCGTCGGGCTCAAAGGGTAGTGATCAATGGCTCCATGTCTAGTTGGCAGCCGGTTTCAAGCGGAGTGCCCCAAAGGTCGGTCCTGGGGCTGGTTTTGTTTAATATCTTTATTAATGATCTGGAGGATGGTGTGGACTGCACTCTCAGCAAGTCTGCAGATGACACTAAACTGGGAGGCGTGGTAGATACACTTAGAGGGTAGGGATTGGATACAGAGGGACCTAAACAAATTAGAGGATTGGGCCAAAAAAAACCTGATGAGGTTCAACAAGAACAAGTGCAAAGTCCTGCACTTAGGATGGAAGAATCCCATGCACTGCTACAGACTAGGGACCGAATGGCTAGGTAGCAGTTCTGCAGACAAGGACCTAGGGGTCACAGTGGACGAGAACCTGGATACGAGTCAACAGTGTGCTCTTGTTGCCAAGAAGGCTAACGGCATTTTGGGCTGTATAAGTAGGGGCATTGCCAGCAGATCGAGGAACATGATCGTTCCCCTTTATTCGACATTGGTGAGGCCTCATCTGGAGTACTGTGTCCAGTTTTGGGCCGCACACTACAAGAAGGATGTGGAAAAATTGGAAAGAGTCCAGTGGAGGGCAACAAAAATGATTAGGGTTCTGGAGCACATGACTTATGAGGAGAGGCTGAGGGAACTGGGATTGTTTAGTCTGCAGAAGAGAAGAATGAGGGGGGATTTGATAGCTGCTTTCAACTACCTGAGGTGGGGTTCCAAAGAGGATGGAGCTCGGCTGTTCTCAGTGGTGGAAGATGACAGAACAAGGAGCAATGGTCTGAAGTTGCAGTGGGGGAGGTCTAGGTTGGATATTAGAAACACTATTTCACTAGGAGGGTGGTGAAGCACTGGAATGCGTTACTTAGGGAGGTGGTGGAGTCTCCTTCCTTGGAGGTTTTTAAGGCCCGGCTTGACAAAGCCCTAGCTGGGATGATTTAGTTGGGGATTGGTCCTGCTTTGAGCAGGGGGTTGAACTAGATGACCTCCTGAGGTCCCTTCCAACCCTGATATTCTCTGATTCTCTGATAGGACCTGCTTAAAGTGAGTGTCCACCTTCCATGGACACAGCCATAGGTGGTGCCAGGCTACTGAGCTGCAACTCATGGCTCAGCCTGAGAATCTCAGTGCCTCCACTGAGGCACTAGCAACAAATGCTGTTGCCAGGGAGATCTGCTTTAAAATGGAACCAAAGTCAGGGTGATCTCTGTACTTAAGGGCTTTGAGATCTTCCAGCCAGGAAAGAAATGCTTTTGCAAAGCAGGTAGTGACAGGGGTGCTCAAAAGGCGCCCGAAGCTTCAAAATCCTTTTTGAGAGTGGCCTCCATCTTTCTATCCATGTGGTTCTTCGGGTACAACTCCCTCTCTGAGGGAATAACTATATCACTGGAGGGACGCAATAGCAGCGTCCACTTTCGGTATCTCAGTAATAGACCCCTTTGGTTTTTGAATTTTACAGAGCCTACGGTTGCTCCTGTTAATGTGCTTGCCTTCATCGGGCATGTTTCATCATCCCTAATCACTTTCTTGAAGAAGGATAATGGGATAGTGCAACCTCGGGGGATGTGGGGAGAAATTTGTTCTGAGGCTTACTCTCAGGAGCCTGCTCAGATTGGATTTGAATCATGGAAACAATGTTGTTCTTGAAATTTCTTAGGGAGAAAAAACGAACAAACAAAAAAACCCTTTTGCTACATTCCCCCTCCCCCCCATTCTGTTGGGATTCAGATCCGAACAGCTCACTTTCCTAAGTGAAGGAGGGGGAGGAAGAGGAGTCACAAGACTCATCTCCTGGATTGTGTGTGTGTTTTCTCTTTCTTTTTTGCCTTTTTAGATTTTCAACCTTTTATGCAGGCTTTGGGAGCACAGAAACTGTTGCAGCTTTGGTAAGGCCTTTTGTTGAATACCTCCCTGGAGCCCTCTTGAGAGGTTTGATTCAGAATCCTCTCTCGTTGGGTCCCCTTATTAGTGGGAGTGGGGAACTCACTGTCTGAGTCCTCCTGGTTGGCTTGTGAGGGAGGACCTTGCTTCTTTCCCCAGGGCACTCAGGACCACAAGGCTCCCCTCTTTGTTCTGCACAAGGTCCCCTGGGACTTACCCCGGGAGACAGGTGGTCAGAGTCCTCCTCACATTTAGAGCCTCTCCCTGCTCTGCACTGGTGTTCTTGGTCCATTTTTCCCAGACTGGAGTTGAGGACCACAATTACCTATCTGACTCAGACCCAGAACCTAGCAGAGTTAGAGTCGGTTGGCTGGGTACTAGTCAACATCTACATAGCCTGGGAAGGCTGCTTCACAGATAGAGCAGTGCTTGGATTTAACCTTGTGCTTTCTTGGCTGCTCTGCCATGGAGCAAGCAGAGGCTCAGGGTGGGTTAAACTCCCAAGGGATTACCTGACCTAGGAATGAGGAGTAACACTTCTCCTCACTGCTCAAAAGCTGGACAGAAATTGCAAAGTAAGAATGTAAGCAACAGAAACTGCCCCAGTCTGCTGCCATGGAGGCAGCAGAAAATCTGTCGGCAAGTGAGAGTGGAGGGGGTGTGGCCAGTGTGTGGAGCCAAACATTGATCTACCTTCATGAAGCTGCAGAGTGAAGAGTAGCCCAGACATCCAGAACTGTGGGAGACACTGGGCTGCAGAAATGATATTAAAGAGACTAAGGGCTTGTCTATACAGTGTAGTAGTCCACACCAGAAGAATGGAGATTCTAATACACGCTAGCATGTTGCACACTAACTGAAGAGTGGACCTGCTGGCATGCACTAAAAGCTCTCTAAAGCCCCATTTCACATAAGCCAATTAGTGCACAACACATTTGAGTGCACTAGAACTTACACACCTTTGGTGAGGATTAATGCACAGTATAGACAACCCCTGATGCTTGGAAATTTATTTCCTTTCCCTCACTGATGAAACCACCCACCAGCTTAAAGCAGCAAAGAGGAAAAAGCGTTTACTGTACATGAAATTTAGCAGAGGGAGATTCATATACTCTAAGGCCATAAGGGACTATTGGCTAGGGCAGAAGCAGTAGATGTGATATAGCTCAATTTTAGTAAAGCTTTTGATGCTGTGTCACATGATCTTCTCATAAGTAAACTAGAGAAATATAACCTAGATGAACCTACAATAAGGTGGATGCACAACTGATTGGAAAACCATACTCAGAGTAGTTATCAATGGTTCACAGTCACGCTGCAAGAGCCTATCAAGAGAGGTCCTGCAGGGATCTATCCTGGGGCTGGTTCTATTCAACATCATCATAAATGATTTGGATAATGACATAGAGAGTACACTTCTAAAGCTTGCAGATGATAGCAATCTGGGAGACATTGCAAGTGCTTTGGAGACAGAAATAGAATTCAAAATGATCTTGACAAACTGGAGACATGGTCCAAAGTAAAAAGGATGAAATTCAATAAGGACAAATGTAAAGAACTACATTTAGAAGGGAATAATCAATTGCACAAATAGAAATTGGGAAATGACTGCCTAGGAAGGAGTACTGCAGAAAGGAATCTGGGGGTCATAGTGGATCACAAACTAAATATGAGTCAACCATGTAACACTGTTGCAAAAAAAGCAAGTATCATTTTGGGATGTATTAATAGGAGCATTGTAGAAAGACACGAGAAGTCATTCTTCCACTCTACTCAGCACCAACGAGACTTCAGTTGGAGTACTGTGTCCAGTTCTGATCACCACACTTCAGGAAAGAAGTGGACAAAATGTAGAAAGTCCGGAGGAGAGCAACACAATGATTAAAGGTCTAGAAAAACATGAGAGGGGGGACATGATAACAGTCTTCAAGTATGTAAAAGGTTGTTATAAAGAGAAGGATGATAAATCGTGTTCCTTATTCGCTAAGGACAGGAAAAGAAGTAATGGGCTTACATTGCAGCAAGGGAGATTTAGATTAGAGATTAGGAAAAACTTCGTAACTGTAAGGGTAGTTAAACTCTGGAACAAATTGCGTAGGGAGGTTGAGGAATCTCCATCAGTGGAGGTTTTTAACAACAAACAGGGTGAACAAACACCTGACAGGGATGGCCTCCTGCCTCAGTGCAGGGGACTGGATGACCTATTGAGATCCCTTCCAGTCATACATTTCTATGATTGTGATCGTCTAGTTTGACCTGCTATATAGCAGAGGCCATAGAACTTCCCCAAAATAATTCCTAGAGCATATATTTTAGAAAAAACATACAATTTAAAAATGATCAGTAATGGAGAATTCAGTAGGGCTCTTGGTGAAAAGATGTTAAGAGATCACTAGATAGAGGTGAATTGAGAACTGAATTGAGAAGTTGACTATCATTTGTCACACAACATTCAACAGACCGCTTCGCAAACTTCAGATACAGGTACTTTCCATAGTTTGGTCCATGAGGTGGCTAATACTTATTCCTTCTCCTCTGACACCCTCTTTATATACTGCACTATTTGACCCAAGTCCTGAAAACACTTATGAGAGGTACTTAATTTTACACGACTAGCCTCATTGACTATGAGACTATTCATACGTAAACACTTGTAAGATCATAGTTCTAGTGATTAATATTTAAAGTTTCCCCAAAACATATAATTATAATATAGCAAAGATCAGCACACATGCAGAATAGCAGAAATTGGACATTTTCCTTTCTTTCGCTCATTCAATCAGATGCAATTTTATTAACATGCTGGAGGTTTACCATGGAGTACTTGGCTTGATGATTTTTTTCCCTTTTTTGACATAATAGGAAAAGATGGTTACAGTCTTAAAAAAAAGTACAATCTGCAAAACATTGTTCTTTAAAATACTGTACATTTACACCAAAACGAACAACAATCACCTCTTCCTCAAGTCTGCCATCACGCAAGGTTGGTGGTATCCCTGGATGCTTTGCTGCCAGTAGTTCCATCAGGTTGTGTGTAGAATGAAGTCTCTTCACACAGAGAAAAGCAACAATTATCATAAAATACAATATACTGTATTATCTGGTACAGCAACAATGAAATCATTAGTGGAATCCCAGAACAAGGCTATTTATGAGAATAATAATAAATATTTAATTTAAAGGTAGGGATTTCCTCTGTGAATCTTAAAGTACCTTATGAAGGTGGGTATTATTACCCCTGTTTACAGAGGACAAAAATGAGACAACTAGGTTACCTGACGCCCCCAAGATCTCATAGCAAATCAGTGAGAAAGTCTAAAAAAGAACCAGTCTTTTTGATTCTCTTGCTTTGTACTCTATATACTAGATCACAGCTGTTCCCCTTAAAGCCATCGTGAGATGCAAGGCATTTATCTTAAAATTTATTCTTTTATAATGATTTTTAAAAAATAAATATGGAAAGAAGTTGTTTATATGTCCCTAAAATAGACAAACTTCAGAAAAGTTGGAAAAAATTATAAACTCTGACCAGCTTCTGCCATTTTACTTAAGTTACAGTAGTATAGCTTTGTTAACAGCATTATTGTTATATCAAAGTCAGAGTTTAAGGCCACAAGAGACCATCAGATCATCTACTCTGACCTCCTTTGTAACACAGGCCACTAAATACCACCCACAACAAGCCCAGCAATCAGAATTAGACCAAAGTATTACAATCTTAAAGAGACTAAACTACTGTGTGTCACAAGAGGGACAAAGGTGCACCACTGCCCAAGGACCCTGCAATGGCAGGGAATTGATTTAGTGAGATACACATTCACATAATATAAATATAGTTTCCTAAAGGGATACTGTCAATACTTTTTTATTCTCTTTCTTGTGTTATAATGCTCTTAGAGGTATCATTTCTTGTGATATAACAATTTGACTTAGTTCCATTTATACTTCTCCAGGTACCATCACAGCTGCCTTTGTCTATTTCTCTGTCTGTACTCTAGTACCACTGATGTTAGCAGTGATATGCAAGACTCCAACATTACAGCTTGTTAAATTCTATTGTAGACCAGCAGGCAGAGCTCACATTGTTTTTTTGGTGCATCACTAAAAATTAGAGGCAAGGCTTTATAAAAAAAGTTTGTTACACTATGGTGACTTTAAACAAGAAATCTGCAGTTCAGTGGACTTTTCTCATAGATCACAATGTTTAGAGCAGTGGTTTTTAAACTTTTTTTCTGGGGACCCAATGGAAGAAAATTGTTGATGTCTGCGACCCAACGGAGCTGGGGATGAGGGGCTCGGGGTGTGGGATGGGCTCAGGGCTGGGGCAGAGGGTAGGAGTGAGGGCTGCAGCTGGGAATGAGGGGTTCAGGGTGTGGGAGGGGGCTCTGGGCTGGGGCAGGGGCTTGGGGTGTGGGAGGGGACTCTGGGTTTTGGGCTGGTGGGGCAGGCTCTGGAGTGGGGCCGGGGATGAGGGGTTTGGGGTGCAGGAAGGGGCTCCGGGTTCGGGCGGGGCTCAGGACTGGGGCAGGGGATCAGGGTGCGGGGTCGGGGCATGGGGTTTCCTCAGGTGGCTCCTGGTAGGTGGCCAGCAGCAGGTCCAGCTCCTAGGCGGAGGTGTGCAAGCGGCTCCGTGCAGCTCTAGTCCACAGGGACCGCCCCCCCCCCCCCCCCCGCCAGCAGAGCCATTGCTCAGGGCAGGGGCAGAGCACGGAGCCCCATGGCCCCACCTGCCTAGGAGCCAGATCTGCTGCTGGCCGCTTCCGGAGCGCAGCGCGGTGTCAGAACAGGTAGAAGCTACCCTGCCTTAACTGGGCAGCACTGCCAATGGGACTGACCAGAGCCACTACGACCCAGTGCCTTACATTCCGCGACTCAGTACTGGGTCCTGACCCGCAGTTTGAAAACCACTGGTTTAGAGTATGTTATATTTGAAGACAGAACAAGTTAACAGTGTCCCTTTGGCAAGCCCCTATGAGAAATAGCTGCATAAGAAATTTAACTGAACAGTCAAGTACATGTTGACATGTTATTTAAAAAATGCATATGAACTTAAATGCATACTCACTTGCAGCGAATCTGTTTTGAGCTTTTCTTTGTGCTCTTCAGAGGAACGCAACACCTCTCTGTACAGGTCTGCTGCCAATGCATATTCATCTGAAGAATTCAAATCCACTTAGAACCAACACAACATGATTTCTATTTCCAAATGGCCACAAATGGCCATCATCTCTAACATATGTAAGATGCCTTCAGAGGGACCGTCTACTATTTACTTGCTGGTTTTTTGGTTGTTGTAAATTGCCTATTTTAAAACACCAATTGAAGAAGCGTGTTTTACCCAACATAGTGGAGTTCTACTCTGAAAAGTAAGTCTGTAAGAATGGCATTGTGGGGTACCATGTTTGTTGTTTCTCAATAACTTCCAGAGCAAACAGTCTGTTTCCAAGTTAAACATGATTTTTGCAATTGTCAGACCTGCAAACACATGATGGTTTCAGAGTCAAGGAGAATTCTGCATGTTATATTTTCAAACTTCAAATTCAGCCTTAATGCAAACCCATCGATTACAACACCCACTGTACTGGTGCAACTGAATGCAGAATTTGCCAGTTCATGACTATGAATTGCCACTATCAATAACAATGAATAGTCACCGGGGCAGGGAAAGAATCAGAATGATTCTATAGTTGGTGGTTAGGACAGTCACCAAGGAAGTGGGAGACTCAGTTTCAATGGCTCTGCTCCAATGGCTATTTAATTATTTATAAAAAGTGGAACAAGTTCAACAGGAGAGTCTGAGAGAAACACATACCACAAGGTCCCATAGCCTAATGGCTAGAGCACTCTCCTGTAATATGGGAGACCCATGTTCAAACCCCTTCTCCACATAGAAGTAGAAGGAGGAATTTCAACTCATGTTTCCCGCATCCCAGATGCGTTCCCTAACCATGGGGCAAAAGGTTTTAAAAGGAAGCCACCTCCTACTATAACTTCTCCACATTCTCCCCACTGACCTTTTTGCGAATCTAGTCCTCTGCTTTTGTCAAAATGCCTGCAGTCACAATGTTTTATTCTGACCCACTAAATTATTTTGATTTACCAAAAAATTTCATTTTTGGTTTTCAGAATTGCCACCAAACCAAAAAATCCATTATTCACCCTCTCTTCTGCCATTTTCACAATCACTTTTCAGAGTGCAATTATAGTTTAAGAGGCCATGTGCACCTTGAGGAAGAAATTAACTGATATTTACTTGAAGCTATATTTGTAAATCATAAAAACACAATTATGTATGCTTTCTTGGACTCCAACAATAAACAGAAGATAGGTAACCAAATTAATAGTCTGGGGAAACTTTTGAATGAGTGTGGTGGTCCATGGGACATAAAAATGTAAGGGTGGACTGTAAGATAATGGTGAAAGCCCTTTTCTAGTTCCAAATATCTTGAAAAGTTACAGGATGGGGAAGTTGTCTAGTACAGTGGTTCTCAACCAGGGGTACATGTACCTCTGGGGGTATGCAGAGGTCTTCCAAGGGGTACATCAACTCATCTAGATATTTGCCTAGTTTTACAACAGGTAACATAAACACTTGTGTAGTCAGTATAAACTAAATTTTCATACAGACAATTACTTGTTTATACTGCTCTATATTTTATACACTGAAATGTAAGTACAATATTTATATTCCAGTTGATTTATTTTATAATTATATGGTAAAAATGAGAAAGTACGCAATTTTTCAGTGTGCAGAGACAATTTTGTATTTTTATATCTGATTTTGAAAGCAAGTATTTTTTAAATGAGATGAAACTTGGGGGTACACAAGACAAATCAGATTCCTGAAATGGATACAGTAGTCTGGAAAGGTTGAGAGCCGCTAGTCTAGTAAAAGCTTTATTGAAAGAAGAAAAGGTAAACTGAAGAGACTGTTGAAGTTAATGCAGCTTAACTAAAAATGACATTATGTGATTTGATTTATCTGAACTACTAGGTGTTACAAAACATAGTACACTTCACTTCACTACACACTTCAGAGTTCACTGGTAATCACCAGGACAACATCCGATTAATAGCTGCAAGTGGGAAGGAACTGAACAAAATTTATACTTATCCTTATATATTTATTCATACGAGATTGTTTTAAAAGTGAGTACTAATACTATAACTAAGGGGGTTGTAGAAGCTGGATTTTATAATGTACTATGAGAATTAATGTATGATTTGATTTCATCCTGTCAGCCACCCTTTTTGAATAGC